CATCGGTGTTAGTAGACTGTCTCGTCTTGCTCGTGTCTTCTAAATCAAAAGCTTCCACTGTGAATCCCTTGGTATGTGGCATCATATAGTTGTTGAATGAGGTTCATAAAGATTTGAGGCACGCCACAGTGTTGAAGTAGTTTCCAAATTACTTCGCGGTCAATTCTGTCGAAGGTCCTTTCAAAGTTGATGAAGTTGAGATAGAGACTTGACTGCCATTCTATACCGCGTTCCATAATGATGCATGGTTTTGTAGTCTGCTCAGTAGAGGATTTGCTTTTCTTGAGTCGAACTCGTTTCATGCAGAGTTTCGCATCCAGAATATCTTTTAATCTCTCTCAAACATATACATATTAACTTGTTTGTTTATTTTTCAGATACGATGCTATTATTGATGAATATATTCAACCGATTTCAAGCTTGTTATATGTGTTCATTACTAATTTCTCTAATCAGTTCATCCATCAATCGATGAAAATATATGAATCTACGTTCATAACTCAAAATTTATACAAAACCTGATCTAAAACTAGTTTTTGTTTCTAAACATTTCCATTACAAGTGCGCACTTTACAATGAGACCTTTGTTGCACTGTTATGCGACGGTATCATATGACATATGATAAGAATTTACTGCTTGAACCAATATCCGAAATTCGATATTTTCAAAATAAAACAAAAACCAAAAACGCGAATTGACAAGATAGTTATCATCGAGTGAAATAAGCAGTACTACGTATATATCCATAAACTTATAGAATGAAGACAAGCATCTGTCTGCTTAGCCATACAATTGAAACTTATTTTATCGATTGTCATTGATATCTATAAAGGTTCAACGCCCGTCAGGTACACTTTTCAATGCAAAACAGTTAAATAGTCAGGTGTATAAGCTCTTGTATTCCGGCTAATAAAATCTCACTTTTGACAGTTAGTGGTAGAAATTAAATGACCGCGAGAATTTGTTCAACAGAGGAGAGATTTTAATTTGTGGCTCAACGCTTAGAAATCAAGTTCATAATACAATAGTCTACCATTATTTTAAATATAGCTTGATTTCACACCGTAGTATTTGTACAAGTATGGAAATATTAGCATGTGATATCGGTAGCCCAAATTTTGCAGGCCGACTAATTGATATCAAATGTGCGTTGGCATGGGATCGAACCCCGTTCTAACGGAACCGCATACTGTACTACTGAATGACTGAGATGAGTAGCTGGATACCACTCACGTCAACCAGTACGGCTTATATGATCCGCTTTATACCACAAATGACAATCAAGAAAGCATGCATAAACACGTGACGAAAGTCACATATTATGACCTAAGTTAGCTTGAATTCCTGTCTTCGCTACCCGTCTTTTCTGCCAACTTGTTCGTTTTCGCCTGTAGGTCTTCGAGTTTGTTCGAAATCAGACATACATCACCGGCAAAGTGTAGATCTTCCTCAGTTTTCTTATCAGTTCAACGTATCCCTGTCTCCTCACTTCCCACAGTCTGACGCATAATCCTGTCGACCACATTCAGGAATATCATCGGTGTTAGTAGACTGTCTCGTCTTGCTCGTGTCTTCTAAATCAAAAGCTTCCACTGTGAATCCCTTGGTATGTGGCATCATATAGTTGTTGAATGAGGTTCATAAAGATTTGAGGCACGCCACAGTGTTGAAGTAGTTTCCAAATTACTTCGCGGTCAATTCTGTCGAAGGTCCTTTCAAAGTTGATGAAGTTGAGATAGAGACTTGACTGCCATTCTATACCGCGTTCCATAATGGTTTTGTAGTCTGCTCAGTAGAGGATTTGCTTTTCTTGAGTCGAACTCGTTTCATGCAGAGTTTCGCATCCAGAATATCTTTTAATCTCTCTCAAACATATACATATTAACTTGTTTGTTTATTTTTCAGATACGATGCTATTATTGATGAATATATTCAACCGATTTCAAGCTTGTTATATGTGTTCATTACTAATTTCTCTAATCAGTTCATCCATCAATCGATGAAAATATATGAATCTACGTTCATAACTCAAAATTTATACAAAACCTGATCTAAAACTAGTTTTTGTTTCTAAACATTTCCATTACAAGTGCGCACTTTACAATGAGACCTTTGTTGCACTGTTATGCGACGGTATCATATGACATATGATAAGAATTTACTGCTTGAACCAATATCCGAAATTCGATATTTTCAAAATAAAACAAAAACCAAAAACGCGAATTGACAAGATAGTTATCATCGAGTGAAATAAGCAGTACTACGTATATATCCATAAACTTATAGAATGAAGACAAGCATCTGTCTGCTTAGCCATACAATTGAAACTTATTTTATCGATTGTCATTGATATTTATAAAGGTTCAACGCCCGTCAGGTACACTTTTCAATGCAAAACAGTTAAATAGTCAGGTGTATAAGCTCTTGTATTCCGGCTAATAAAATCTCACTTTTGACAGTTAGTGGTAGAAATTAAATGACCGCGAGAATTTGTTCAACAGAGGAGAGATTTTAATTTGTGGCTCAACGCTTAGAAATCAAGTTCATAATACAATAGTCTACCATTATTTTAAATATAGCTTGATTTCACACCGTAGTATTTGTACAAGTATGGAAATATTAGCATGTGATATCGGTAGCCCAAATTTTGCAGGCCGACTAATTGATATCAAATGTGCGTTGGCATGGGATCGAACCCCGTTCTAACGGAACCGCATACTGTACTACTGAATGACTGAGATGAGTAGCTGGATACCACTCACGTCAACCAGTACGGCTTATATGATCCGCTTTATACCACAAATGACAATCAAGAAAGCATGCATAAACACGTGACGAAAGTCACATATTATGACCTAAGTTAGCTTGAATTCCTGTCTTCGCTACCCGTCTTTTCTGCCAACTTGTTCGTTTTCGCCTGTAGGTCTTCGAGTTTGTTCGAAATCAGACATACATCACCGGCAAAGTGTAGATCTTCCTCAGTTTTCTTATCAGTTCAACGTATCCCTGTCTCCTCACTTCCCACAGTCTGACGCATAATCCTGTCGACCACATTCAGGAATATCATCGGTGTTAGTAGACTGTCTCGTCTTGCTCGTGTCTTCTAAATCAAAAGCTTCCACTGTGAATCCCTTGGTATGTGGCATCATATAGTTGTTGAATGAGGTTCATAAAGATTTGAGGCACGCCACAGTGTTGAAGTAGTTTCCAAATTACTTCGCGGTCAATTCTGTCGAAGGTCCTTTCAAAGTTGATGAAGTTGAGATAGAGACTTGACTGCCATTCTATACCGCGTTCCATAATGATGCATGGTTTTGTAGTCTGCTCAGTAGAGGATTTGCTTTTCTTGAGTCGAACTCGTTTCATGCAGAGTTTCGCATCCAGAATATCTTTTAATCTCTCTCAAACATATACATATTAACTTGTTTGTTTATTTTTCAGATACGATGCTATTATTGATGAATATATTCAACCGATTTCAAGCTTGTTATATGTGTTCATTACTAATTTCTCTAATCAGTTCATCCATCAATCGATGAAAATATATGAATCTACGTTCATAACTCAAAATTTATACAAAACCTGATCTAAAACTAGTTTTTGTTTCTAAACATTTCCATTACAAGTGCGCACTTTACAATGAGACCTTTGTTGCACTGTTATGCGACGGTATCATATGACATATGATAAGAATTTACTGCTTGAACCAATATCCGAAATTCGATATTTTCAAAATAAAACAAAAACCAAAAACGCGAATTGACAAGATAGTTATCATCGAGTGAAATAAGCAGTACTACGTATATATCCATAAACTTATAGAATGAAGACAAGCATCTGTCTGCTTAGCCATACAATTGAAACTTATTTTATCGATTGTCATTGATATCTATAAAGGTTCAACGCCCGTCAGGTACACTTTTCAATGCAAAACAGTTAAATAGTCAGGTGTATAAGCTCTTGTATTCCGGCTAATAAAATCTCACTTTTGACAGTTAGTGGTAGAAATTAAATGACCGCGAGAATTTGTTCAACAGAGGAGAGATTTTAATTTGTGGCTCAACGCTTAGAAATCAAGTTCATAATACAATAGTCTACCATTATTTTAAATATAGCTTGATTTCACACCGTAGTATTTGTACAAGTATGGAAATATTAGCATGTGATATCGGTAGCCCAAATTTTGCAGGCCGACTAATTGATATCAAATGTGCGTTGGCATGGGATCGAACCCCGTTCTAACGGAACCGCATACTGTACTACTGAATGACTGAGATGAGTAGCTGGATACCACTCACGTCAACCAGTACGGCTTATATGATCCGCTTTATACCACAAATGACAATCAAGAAAGCATGCATAAACACGTGACGAAAGTCACATATTATGACCTAAATGAAGTTTAAGGTCACAAAACTACCCAATTTTGACTCCATACAGATTAAATCCAAGGAAATATCTTCTTCAATGGTGTTTAAAATGTTTGAAAAGATAAAAGGGATGAAAAGCATCGCGACAAGCCATAAAATTGAATACATTCAGTGTTAACTAACTTCAACTGGTTCATAAGCCAGTGTTGAAATACTGGAAATTTTTATTTCCCATGACCAGATTATCCAAATATCAAAAGTGTTATACATTTTTACTGTATGATAATAATGATAATGATAAAAACAATATATATATATATGTATATCATTAACAAATGGTGAAATTAAACATGAATACTTCGGAAATAATCTTACAATACAGTTGTAAATTATACGAATTAAAATTTATGCAGTATATGAAGTAATGACCGGTGGAAGGATGTATACAGGAGAGACAAATGGGGCGGGGAGAATGGATAAGGCGATGTGTGAATCACAGGCATTGAACGTGCTGACGATTTGTATTTGGTTCCATTCAAGAAAACAGGCTGATTTCGATTGTTACGTGAATTGGATCTGGATAAGATAAACACACATATACCGCTGGACCACAGATATAATTTCAGATGTTAACACGAACACGTTGAAGGTGGTGGATCTGGTTGTTTAGATTGTAATGGTATACCCTGAGGTGGTCTTGATGATGAAGATGATGCTCTGAATTCAGGATCTTGAAGTATCTATATATGATTTTAATTTGTTAAAATAAAGCATAAAATATATTTCCTTCTTTAGCAAACAATTACAGCATCATAAGAAAAAATGCAATGGATAGATAAGAGTCGGTTCTGAATCATCGGAATGAACTCTTGCAGAAATCTGCCTAAATGAAATCAGTCACACAACTACATGCACTACGAATCTTACAGTGACGTTTATGTTTAACAATATTCTACGGACAGAAAGCAATTGAGTACCATATGTGGCGGAAGTAAATAGAGGGAATATCCGTAATGTGTACCCGAGGCTAATCGGATGGTTTGTATGAGATTACTAAACGTTAGTTAAATTATGTCATACAACTTTGGCCATATCATATTCTATTTATGAAGTTACTGTTACAAACTATGCTTCCCGGTTAATCGATCTTCAATCTAGACTCGCATGTATGTATATAAGTACCATGAAAAAAGTATTGAACACCAACCCTTGCTACAAAGCTGAGGCCTTTCTGTAAAAATACTGGATTTCTATTTTACAGTTTATAAAAATAGTTAAGAGTGGATAAAATTAGTTACAACGATAAGCTTTTATTGCTACCAACGAACAACACTTCATTTCAGCAAAATTGACAAGTGAACATAGTTGCACGAAATCTGAGGAGATAATAGAAAATGAATGAAATACTTAACAACCAAACAAAACTACACATACATCGATAAGCCTCCAAGATGTAACCAAAGCTCTGCTACTACTCCTTGGCATTTGGTGGAGACTGAATTCTGTCAGTCAGGTTTTAAATGTGGTCATCAAGCTAGGTGCCCTGCTACTGTGGTGCATTCTGAACTGATGTGGTCGGATACAACTGGCAAGAAGCCCTGGCACATTTCAACAAGACATATTTGCAATCTTGAAGGGATCCATATCCCTTCCAGGATTCAAACCCGCTTCAGCCAGTGCTTTGGTCAAAGATGCCACCACAGATATGCCTTGCTAAAGAGTGTCAGTATTGCCTCCAACTATCTCATAAATCATACATACACTGCCAGAAGTCAATGCAAATAATAAAGTGAATCAGCCACCCACTTGTTGCATAGTTTAAGAGAAGTCGCTTATAACAGTTACTTACGAGATATGTTGACTACATATTCTCAATGAAAAACACTACCAACACACAGTGAGGAATGATTTAGTAATCAGAATCGCTACACTTTGTCAAAGTTACGGGTCAATGAATGATATTGAACCGAAAATTGGTACAAAAAAGAGTTGTTCTATTATTACGGTGAATACAATATCCAAAATATCTCGAAACCAAACTATTATCCGGGTAACTGAGTTAGCGTATACTTCCAGGAAGAAGTGTATCAGTTCAAGCTACCACATCTAAAAAGCCACACATAAGAGAAACTTAATAACACTACAGCGGAAAGACGTATGAAGCAGAGAATAACTAAATGAAGACTAGTAGAGTTATTTGGAATACCGAAACTGACAAAGGGTGAAGGCGTTTGAAAATTGTGAGCGATTTTAAGCGTTTTCACAGAAAACATTTCCCACGACTGATTCTCAGCACCCCGAGGACCGTAACCAGGTAACTTGCACGTTGTGCAACCAGGGGTGAAAGTGAATGAATTCATAGATTTCGTTCCGTGTGTCGGTCTAAATACACCTGAATTTGTTCAACTTGAACATCGGTGTGCACAATCACATGTCCTATTATACACAGAACAGTTATATGTACATATGGAAAATATTTCCGAACAATTTAAATGTATTTGGAATATGTGAGATATTTTAGTTCTTAATGTCATGGATATCTTTTCACAGCACTTACCTTGCATCCGGTTGAATTTTCAAAGCACCCCAGGGAACAAAACTGTGTCTTGTGACCTAATTTTGCGTTTTTCTGTTCAAACTCGATCTGAATATGTCTAACTTCTTCAGTAGAAGTCGTACACTTAACCATAATATACCTCAACATAATAGGAGCGTTTTGAGCCAACCTGAATACATAGTAAGTTGCGATTACAGTGAAACCGAGTGAAAAACCTTGCTCATTAACCAAATAATAAGTTGACTGGTAAGCCTAATCAGTCTTGAATACTCTGTAATAGTTGCAAAACTCACTTTTCGAACAAGCTCTACGAATGCATCACGAACGTTCTCACTTGTTTTCGCGCTAGTCTCCACAAAAAGTGATCCCAATTGTCGGGCGAAATCTGAACCTTCCTTTTTAGAAACTACTCGGCCATCCTATATGTACAACATAGAGAACATATAACCAGAGAAACTAACCAAATCAATTTTATTCCCAACAAGCATTTTTAAAAGCCGACCGCCACAGAACTGTTCTGTTTGTTCTGCCCAATACTTTACTCCAGATAGACTTTGCATAGAAGTAACGTCATATACTAAGAGGGGAAACGATGGTAGAAAGTCATTTGATACCAAACGTACCGTAAAGGGCACCATTGGCGTGACGATAAAACGAAGGAGTTAGATAACCACTGTAGCGTTCTGCACCAGCTGTATCCTAGACAGAAACGGTTTATGTATTTAGTACATGAAGCCTACCCATATATTAAACTGTACAGTCTCACCATCCAAAACCATCTGATATGGTTTATAGTCGAAACCAATTGTTGCCGCCTCATTCACAAGAAACTGGTCATCAACAAATCGGCGGATTAGACTTTGTTGAAGAAAATAAAAAGTAAGATTTCGGTATTATACACTGAACAAACCTCGACTTTCCCACTCCCGAATCGCCTAAGAGAATAAGTTTAATTCTTATCGAATCTTCGTCTGACATAATCTAAACTTCAAAATAGTGACAACGGTAATGTAGTTTACACACACATAAGATGATTACTAAATAAAATACCTCTACTTATTATGTTTAAAGACAAAAGCAATGCGAGATCTACTTTATTTATCCGTGAATCAGAAAGAGTGCACTTATTTACATTGCTTAACACACTGGTCATCGTAAAGAAATAAATGGTGTCAAGATGAAGTCAGAATACCAAAAGGAAACACTTCTGGAACGTATTCTACAGCAGTAATACGACAAAGCAACCACGCGCATGTTTATACACTCGATAAAACGCTGAATACGAGAATCTCACTTGTATTACTTGACAGACAATATTCCATCAGCCAAATTTTAGTTGGAATCCATAGCCCTTCATTTGAAAGTCTGCTGTCTCTACAAATAGTTACTAGTGTTATCTAGAGTTTGAATTATCTCACCATTCTGTGATTTTTGATCCTTACGCTGTATTAGTGGACAATATTCTGTTAACACGTGTCTATATGATTTTTGCGAATAGCGATATGGAAGCCCAGCTAGCGTTTGCTTCGGGCGCAATGCAGAAGTTTGCAGAATTTCTGCGCACACAAGCTTATAATAATGCTGAATTAAATCTCAATAATTCTGAAATAATTCTAACATTCTATAGTGAGTAAATTCGGATTCTCTTGTGAAATGGATTTTTTAATGGCACAGACTAGAACTCTGTGCAGGTTTTCATCATGACTGGCACTAATTCAGCACCCTGTTCTTTTTCGAATCATTTTCAGGAGTAGATTAGAACCTGCTGGGTTTGATTATCAGCGTTGTTCCAGCCTCCACGATACATATTAAGAACGGACCGTCGTTATAACGACAGAACGAAAAGACTTCATTCGGCACCCAGCTCTCTGTTTAAGCACGACCAGAGTTTTTTCAGAAGATAGTGAGTAGATCTTCGTTTACCATAAAAAGGCATTATCGAAGAATAGGTTAGAATAAGTTAGAATAAGAATAATTCCAGCTAGCATCTTTTTGGGCGCATTGCAGACTTTTTGGGGCGAAAAATTCGGGTAGATCTACTTACGTGGGACAGTGTCCCGAAGTCTGCCCAAAAAGTCTGCAATGCGTCCGAAAAAAAAGCTAGCTGCAATCATGAAACTACATTTTGTGTGGACTGCTTGTAATCACCTCCTATGTCGGATCCTCGAAACTTGTGATTTGCATAATTTGTTCTTCAAAAAAGAGGCTCGAGAATCTCAGCTTGGCTCATCAGTTTACTTCAAAGTAAAACATAATTATGTTTTACATCAGACCGATCGGTCTGACGGTAAGCAAACTCAAGTTTTCCTAACGTCTTTTGAAGATCCGGACCTAAAAGCATTAGGAAATATATTGAATTTTAAAATTTAAGAGCAAAAATTACTAGAAAAGGTAAAATTTCAACCGGAAATATGTAATGAGGGTCACGAATCCCCAAATATGTACATCAAAATCCTAACCTTGAAGTACAAATTCTTTCCGAAAATTTGCCGTTAAATGTTCAGTTTATACAATCCAATATCCTGATTACGACCTAGTATGTTAGGACTGTGTTTCTGCCGTGAATGGATTTTGACCTAACTCCCGTTGGTCATTCGGTGTAGTCGTAAAAGCAGAATAGTAATAATAATAATAGGTTGTGGTGTAGATAATATGGGTTGAGATAAATGAAATAATAAAGGTGACCTAAGGAAAAGAGAGTGAGAGAAGGCAGAATAGGTCGTGGGGATTTAGTTTGTATGCTTATCCATTCACAGTGTGGTTTTAAGTTTTATGGAGATAAGCCATTGAGACACAAACCTTGCATTTCTGCATGATTGTCTAACTTCCGCTAAAAATCTCCAGAGATCGCGCTATAGCCACGGCCGCCGGTAAAGCATTCCAGAGATGGCAAACTCGAAGCGAAAAGAAATGTGATCGCACTCGAGTCTTTGGTCTCTGGTGTGCTATCCTTAACGGGTTACGTCGTGGAAGCCTATAGTCGCTTAATGGCAGGATGCTTTTATTTGGGTGGGCCAGGTCATTTAAGATCTGGTAGACGGTGATGAGGTCTCCCCTGTGCCTACGGTAACTAAGTGTGAAAAGACCTAATTTCTTTAGTCGTTCCTCATATGATTTGTTGCGGAGGCCGATCACCCATTTTGTCGCTCGTCTCTGGACACTTTCTAGAATGTTAGCATCCCTTTTGAGTAGCGGAGGTGCAATGATATTATGCACCTCAAGGTGTGGCCTCACATATGCCTTATATAACCTTAGAACAGTTCGGGAGTGAGAGCTCCCAGCTGCCTATTCATAAAGTGTAAAGTTGCGTAGGCTTTGGCGACGTCCCTCGCGTAATTTCCACTGGTGTCTAGCTTTTCTGTTAGAATAAGACCTAGATCGCGCCCCGATGGAACACAACTCAAGTTCTGGCCACCAAGGATGTAATTTACACTCTGTGACCTTCCGGAATGTAGTTTCACTACTTTGCACTTCTTTAGGTTCAAAGGCATCCCGTTAGCCAGAGTCCAGTTTCCCAGAGTTTGCAGGTCAGCCTGCAATCTGTCTGAGTCTTCCGATGAGTTTATCGCTCTCCAAATCTTTACGTCGTCAGCGTAAAGAAGCGTAGAGCAGTTTAGTTGGGAGGGCAGGTCGTTGATAAAAATCAAAAACATCAACGGCCCTAGGATAGAACCTTGAGGAACCCCTGATGCCGAGGTGTGCCAGGATGATCGGATGCGGTTGACTTTGGTGCAGAATTCTCTCTCGCCTAGGTAATCTTTCAGCCATGCGAGAAGTGCTCCAGAAACACCCGCCTTGCTTATTTTGTGAAGGAGCAGACCATGGTGAACTGTGTCGAATGCTTTCGCAAAGTCGAGAAAGATCACATGGGCTGGTACTTTTTCGTCCCAGGATAGTGTCCAATCGTTCCAAGCTAGTAGAAGATTCGTCACGCAGGATCTTCCCCTCCTGAAACCGTGCTGTGCTTCGTGGAGAAGGTTAGTCCCGTCGAAGTATTTTATCATGTGGTCGTCGATGAGACTTTCCAATATTTTCGATATCACTGGAAGTAGAGCAACTGGTCTGTAACTGGTCGCATTCTGCCGGTCACCACCCTTGAAGATGGGGGATAAGATCGCTCGTTTCCATTCACATGGAAGTTTCCCTATATCAAAAGAGTGTTGGAACAGATCACTTAGGGGTTGGCAGAGACTTTCTGAACACTGCTTCAGGATGGATGGTCTGATGTCATCACAACCTGAAGACTTTCCCGTATAGGCTTCGCCCATTTTGTACAGGAATTTATATGCCTCTCGACTGTAGTATTGGCGAGCTCACTCAGTGGGGGCCACAAGCTCTACTCACAGCATTTAATACTCTTCGTAATATGATATAATCTTTTTTGAGAAGCCCAGGAAAGATTAATGGAGAGCAATACAGTACAATAGGTAAAATACAGGAGTTTAAAAATTGCAAAACTAAAGGTTGGTTGATACCTGATTGTCTTAACTTTTTAATGTAGAAGATAAGACGAAACATTTTCTTAGAGATAGATAACATGTGGGATGACCATGAAAGGTCAGAGGAAAGAACTAATCCAAGGTATTTAATGCTTGACTTGGTTTCAATTTCCGTGCCATCTATGCTACAGGTATCATGCGAACTGACTAGTTCATGTAAGTCACGTCGACGCTTGAAAGTAAAGTCAACTGCATGATATTTGGAAGGATTTAACATAAGACCATTTGACTCAGACCACTTGCTGATGTCCAACACAAAGCTATTAAGTTTGCAGCAGTCAGACTCGGAAGTGATAGGCAGTGATACAGCCAGATCATCTGCATATTTGACAAAGTTAGTTTCGTTTGAATGAGGCAGGTCGTATAGGAAGAAAGAAAAGAGAAAAGGAGAGAAGACGGTATCTTGAGGAACACCGGCTTTTGTAAGCGAAGCAAAAGAAGATTTGCCATTATATACAGTATACTACATTCTATCAGAAAAATAGGAATGCAACCAACTCTTAGCCTAGGATCCTGTTTGTGTCAACGAAAGCTTATTTAATAAAAGGCCCCTAGGTACAGAGTCAAAAGCAGATGTGTAGTCTAAGAAAGCACTACGAACATATTTAGCACCTTTGTCTAAACAAGAGACAACATTATGATATAAGACGACCGCAGCATCCAAGGTACTTCTACCATGTTTGTATGCAAATTGTTTAGGATCATTAAAAGGTTTCAATGGAGGTTCGAGACGAAGTAAAAGTAATTTTTCCATCAATTTTAAAATGGGGGAAGTAGTTGCAATAGGCCGAAATTTAATATCAGAACCAGAAGATGGTTTTGTTATAAGGATAATTTTAATGTTTTTCCATGCAAAAGGTAGAACGTTACCGGAAAAAGAAGCATTAAAAATGTTAGTAAGAGGGTAACATAAAATATCAGCACAATTCCTGAAGACAATGGCAGGTATGCCGTCAGGACCTAGGCTTTGAGAATGCTTAAGAGACCGGAGGCATTTAAGCAAATCAAGGGTATTAAAACCACTAAAATTATTGTCACTATGGTTTGTATCATTAGGAAGGATATCAACAGAAGAGCGTATGAAAGATTTATTAAGAGTGCCGACATTAAGAGATGGGACAGAAGTACATCGCTCACCGGTAGTAATTTCTTTGAAAAGTTTCCATAAATTGGAAGGGGTCTTACATGACAAAAATCTTTGATTATATAAAACATTTAGTCTTTTCATTTCAAGTTTTATCAGAGTATTTGACTATTTTACACCAGGCTTATCATTTGATTTGAGCAACAGTTCTTTATCCCTACGTAGCTTTTTGAGGTATTGCGAAGAGAAGCTATCAAATCGAATGAATAACGTTTCTTCAGGAGAACATATTTTGAAACAGAATTTAAGATAATCAGTAGTGTTTGTGATCGTTTCATCAAGTGTTTGTTCTGTAAATAAGTCCCAGTTAGTGTGTTTCAGCATGCATCTGAGAT